CCAGTGCAGTTTTAACAGAACACCGAAGTTTATTACACAACAAAAGGAAAGAAAGTATTTTACACTATACACCAATTATTTAAAACAATTATGTTAAAAATATCAGAAGTAAATGTTCAAGTCTTTTACCTTCAATAACGTCTTTACAGATATTCAAATATTAGTGAAGGATCACCTGTCTCCACTTTAAAATTTCTTGTTCAGTCAGCACAGCTATCATTGATTCCTGGAGCTTACTACTTATTGACTTTGAAACACTTTCAGAGCAAGCATGTAAAATTTCCAGCAATTTTCTAATTCTGAATGATTTATCCTCAGTCACTCAGAACATTTTCCCCAACTCTGATTTTTCTTTCGGTCTTGCTAAAGTTAACAGATCATTGTTGTAGGACTGAACCTGCGCATTCTCCCTGAACTTTTCAATGGTTCAGTCTTGGTGTCATAGGATACCTTGTTTCTAGGCAAACACAATTTTATTTCTTTGACCCTTGTGTCTAATGCGCTGAACTATTCACCCGGGGGGTTTGGAGACCTCACTTAGACTCATGTAAACAAAACCTCAGACTATCCTTCCCCACTCTTGTAACTCAAAAACTATGTCCCTCCCTTCTTCACAAAACGATATAAAATTACAAAACAAACCTAAAACTAGGCATGATTCTGTCTACTTTAAAATCCAAGTTTTCAAATCTTAATAACATTCATGAAATTTCATCACACCTTCATATACGAGTGGATATGTGAACTTTTCAGGCATAATTCGACCTTCTCAGTTTTCTTTTCCATAATTTATGGATAAATATCTAGACCAGTACTGCAGATTTTGAACTTTGGTGGAATTTTGTTTTTCTTGAAGCTTTGAGGGTGTGTGGACAGTGAAGATTGAATGAAAATAGACAGTTTTGGGGTTTTGCTTGATTACTATTGATGATTATGGAGTATTTCTGTACAATTTTACCTGCTAAACTGGTATAAATAGGGAATATTTAGCATAGATTTTGGAAATTCAGGTTTTGTAAGCCCAAAGGCCTACTTTCATGATACAGTCATAGAGCACAGAAACAGACCCTTTGGTTGAACTTGTTCATGCCAACCAGTTTTACATAGAAAAACAGAAACACAGAAGATAGGAGCAGGAGGAGGCCATTCAGCCCTTCGAGCCTGCTCTGCCATCCATCATGATCATGATTGTCTGACTCAATCCACCTAATCCTGCTTTCTCCCCATAACCTTTGATCCCATTTGTCCGGAACGGCTTTATCTAGCAGCCTTTTGAATGCATTCAATGTTTTGGCATCAACTACTACTTGTGATAATGAACTCCACAGGCTCACCACGCTTTGGATGAGGAAATGTCTTCTCATCTCTGTCCTAAATGGTCTACCCCGAATCCTCAGTCAGTGACCCCTGGTTCTGGACACACCCACCAGCAGGAACATTCTCCCTGCATCTACCCTGTCCAGTCCTGTTAGAATTTTATAAGTCTGTATGAGATCCCCCTCATTCGTCTGAACTCTAGTGAAAATAATCCCAACCTAGTCAATCTCTCCTCATACGTTAGACCCGCCATCCCCAGAAACAACCTGGTAAACTTTCACTGCATTCCCTTGAGAGCAAGAGCATCCTTCTTCAGAAAAGGAGACCAAAACTGCACACAATATTCTAGGTGTGGTCTCACCAAGGCCCTGTACAACTGCAACAACACATCCCTGCTCCTGTACTCGAAACCTCTCACAATGAAGGCCAACGTACCATTTACCTCCTTTACCTCCTGCTGCACCTGCATGCTTACCTTCAGCGACTGGTGCACAATGACACCCAAGTCCCGCTGTACATTCCCCTCTCCCAATTTACAGCCTTTCAGGTAGTAACCTGCCTCCTTGCTTTTGCTTCCAAAGTGAATAACCTCACGTTTATCCAAATTATACTGCATCTGCCATTGATGTGCCCACTCACCCACTTGTTGAGATAATGCTGAAGGATCTCTGCATCCTCGTCACAGTGGACCCTCCCACCCAACTTGGTGTAATCTGCAAACTTTGAGATGATACATTTTGTTCCCTCATCCAAATCATTAATATATATTATGAATAGCTGGGGTCCCAACACCGATCTCCGTGGCAACCCACTAGTTACTGCCTGCCAATTTGTAAAGGACCCATTAATTCCTAAGCTTTGTTTCCTCTCTGCCAACCAGTTTCCTATCCATCTTAATATACTTCCCCTAATCCAATGTGCTTTAATCTTGCATAATAATCTCATGTGGGACTTTGTCGAAAGCTTTCTGAAAGTCCAAATATACCACATTGGCTGGCTTCCCCTAGTCAACTTTACTAGTTACATCTTCATAGAATTCCAACAGATGTGTCAAGCATGATCTCCCCTTCATAAATCCATGCTGATTCTGTCTGATACTGCCACTGCTTTCTAAATGCTCCGCTATAAAGTCCTTGATAATGGATTTGAGAATTTTCCCCACTACCGATGTTAGGTTTACTTGTCTATAATTCCTTGTTTTCTCTCTACCTCACTTTTTGAATATTGGAGTGACATTAGTCACTCTCCAATCTGCAGGGACTGTTCCAGAGTCTATAGAATCCTGGAAGATGACCACCAATGCATCCATTATTTCTAGAGCCACTTTCCCAAAACTAAACTAGTCCTTTTTGTCTGCTTTTGGCCCATATCCTGCTAAACCTTTCCTGTTTGTGTACCCGTCCAAATATTTTTTAAATGTTGTAATTGTGCTTGCCTCTACCACTTCCTCTGTCTGCTCATTCCAAATACGCACTGCCCTCTGTGCGAAAATGTTGCCCCTTTGGTCTCTTTTAAATCTTTCCCTCTCCCCTTAAACCTATGGCCTCTAGTTTTGAACTCCCCCACTCTCGGGGAAAGACTTTGGCTATTCAACTTATCCACACCTCTCATGGTTTTATAAACCTCAATAAGGTCACCCTCTCAACCTCCTATACTCCAGGGGAAAATTGTCCCAGCCTGTTAAGCAATCATTTGTGCTTAATTTATTCCACCTGCACCTAGAAAGCCTTTTTATTACAATTCTTGCTTTCCAGGTTTAGTAAATGTGAGATGATAGTAAAGGTTTTGTCCTCAAAAGTTGATCTTTTCAGTCATGTCCTGCTGAATTTGGTTGATTGTCTGGATTCCAGGGTATGTAGGAGTTGCGGAAAACTGACCTTTGCTCTGAGTTATGTTATAGGACTAGGATTTTCAGGGTTTAATTATTGGTCATCCTGCTCCATATGACCACCATCCCTGGAAAGAATCCACTGTGTACTATGCTCATTATTTGCCACAACAATGCCAGAATTTCACCTGACCAAAGATGTTAGATTTCTTTACTATGTTTCCTTGTGTTGCTGATTATTAAACCTCTTATTGGTTACACTCCTGATTGTACCAAATATCTTTAATCAAGTTCTGTAATAGGAAATAGGTTTTTCTGGTGGTGAGAGGAATTGGGGAGGTACTTTATGATGGTCCAGTGTAGAAAATCAAATGGTCCTGATTTTAAAAGTAACTCATAAAAATGATTCTAGGTAGGCTTAGTAATGTTACTACATAAAGCTTTTCATTTGAAAATAATGGTCGAGAGACTAAAGGTAAGTAATTTCAAGATTTAATAAAATGACTCTGTTTTCATGTTAGTGGTGGTGAAAATAAAAATACTCAACTCCTTGACCTGTTGGATAGAAATTCATTCTTCCTGACAGAAATAAAATTCAAGCTTGCTGCTTCTGTATTTGTTCAGCACAATCCCCAGTCTGCATTTACCACTCAGGCATTCCTGCACAAGAACAATACTCACAAGATATATTTTTGAACTACTGTGGAAATCTTATTTTGATTAGGGTTTGAGACTTGGAATTGCAAAAGTATAGAACCCACAAATTTGTTGGAATTGTCATTGATGTCTTAGTTTAACTCAGATATGTTGACAGGTCTCTTTGAATTATTAACACAACTTGTGGCTTACAGTATATAAACAAAAACAAAAGCTGTAATTATACTTCAATGAGGCAGATGCTCCACAGTACATGCTATCTTTCTTTCCTTGTGTTGCTGATTATTAAACCTCTTATTGGTTACGTTCCTGATTGTACCAAATATCTTTAATCAAGTTCTGTAATAGGAAATAGGTTTTTCTGGTGGTGAGAGGAATTGGGGAGGTACTTTATGATGGTCCAGTGTAGAAAATCAAATGGTCCTGATTTTAAAAGTAACTCATAAAAATGATTCTAGGTAGGCTTAGTAATGTTACTACATAAAGCTTTTCATTTGGAAATAATGGTCGAGAGACTAAAGGCAAGTAATTTCAAGATTTAATAAAATGACTCTGTTTTCATGTTGTGCTCATGGTGATTGTGATTTTGGGGTATGTACAGGATATTGATCATTGCTACAAATAAACCCTCATTGTATTCTACTGGCCTAATATCTACACGGTCTTAATTGAATGTGTTGCATGAAGTGTAATTGAAGGTAAAACAATTAGTGCCGATATTTGCATTGAAATGTTCATTTATTGTAGCAGTGAATTTATTTTCTGTAGCATTATCCTACCAATTCATTTCACCAGGTAATACATTCCTAACACTAAGATACAAATATTTGCTCCTAGAAGTTTTGTCTGTATTAGTCTTGTTGTTCCACATTTTAGACCTACCAGTTGTCTCTTACAGTGGGATTCCTTGCCACACCTCTGCTTGTTGTGTACCTGCGTAATGCAACTTTTCATAGAACTGTGTGAGCAAATAAGAATCTCTGTCTCTTGCTTGCTTTCATTCTCTCTCGTGCGTGCTCGCTCGCTCTCTCTCTCTCACTCACACAATGTCACATGCTACCCACCTTGTTACGTTTTAAGTGTTTCGGCAACTGCAGCAGATTTTATAATAAGCTAATCTCATTTCACAGTTTTATCCATAAGATTGAAAACCATATGTAAAAGTATGGAATAAAATTATACAACTGTACTTTTGCAGAACTTATCAATAAACTCAACATTTTGGAAGAAGAGGAGGAACCCCTTAACACAAGACATGATCCGTTTAGAGAGCTTGATACTCATGCATTGAATCCTTTTGGAGACCCAGATGATGATCCTGATTTAGAAGGTAAAAAGTTTTCTTTCATTGTAGTACATTCAAAATGGTAATTTTTAAAATAAAACAGTACAAATTTTTCAATAAGGCTGGGTTGAGATTTTATACTCTTGTAAAGCTTTTGGTATCACTAAAAGAACTTGGCACAAGGCATTAAGCCACAAGAGTAATAATTGTCATTTGTTCAGTCCTGCTGGTTGTTTTGCTAACGTTTTAGAAACTACACAGTCATTCTCATCTCTCTATTGATATAGGAACAAGTGATGTGACTTACTCCTATTTGAAATTAGTAATTCATATTAGTTAGCAGTTAGCATTCCAAATATCTCAAAATCCATAAAATCCATTTCTCACTGTCAACCAGATATGTTTCAAATGAAGAGAAGAGTATGATATAATGTACAAAGTGCAGATATTCAGAGAATTAGATGTACTTCCAGGGGTAGATACTGGAGGCAAAAACATGACAAAATCATGGTACAATGACAGCACAGTACTACCTACAGAATCAAAAGTGACCCTGGAAAATCTGGAAACTTGGACATTTTCCACATCTTGTTGAATTTAGACATGGAATGCTTCAGTATCTAAGGAGTTGTAAATGGTGCTGACCATTGCTGCTTGACAGTCAGAGGTCTTGCCATCATTGAATCCTCACTATCAACACCCTACGGTTACCATTGACCCAAAACTGAAGTGGACCAACCATATAAATACAGGTCAGAGGCTAGGAATCTTCCAGCGAGTAACTCAACTCCTAACTCCCCAACATCTGTCCACCATCTATAAGGCACAAGTCAGGAGTGTGATGGAATACTCCCCAGGTGCCTGGATGGGTACAGCTCCAACAACACTCAAGAAACATGGCATCATCCAAGACAAATCAGTCCACTGGATTGGCACCACATCCACAAACATTCACGCCTTCCATCTGTGCAGAGAGGAGCAGAGTTAATGTCTTGAGTGAAGAATTTTTACATGAAATATTAACTCTTCCTTTCTCTCCGCGGATGCTGCCAGATCATGGGGAGGTGATGGCCTAGTGGTATTATCGCTGGACTATTAATCCAGAGAACTAGATAGTGTTCTGAGGACCTGGGTTTGAATCCCGCCACAGCAGATGGTGGAATTTGAATTCAATAAAGATATCTGGAATTAAGAATCTAATGATGACCATGAATCCATTGTCGATTGTCGGAAAAACCCATCTGGTTCACTAATGTCCTTCAGGGAAGGAAACTGCCATCCTTATGAGGTCTTATGAGGATAGGCTGAGGGACTTGAGGCTGTTTTCGTTAGAGAGAAGAAGGTTAAGAGGTGACTTAATAGAGACATACAAGATGATCAGAGGGTGGACAGTGGGAGCCTTTTTCCTCGGATGTGGTGGCTAGCATGAGGGGACATAGCTTTAAATTGAGGGGTGATAGATATAGGACAGATGTCAGAGGTAGGTTCTTTACTCAGAGAGTAGTAAGGGCGTGGAATGACCTGCCTGCAAAAGTAATGGACTCGCCAACTTTAAGGGCATTTAAATGGTCATTGGATAAACATATGGATGATAATGGAATAGTTTAGGTTAGATGGGCTTCAGATTGGTTTCACAGGTCGGCGCAACATCGAGGGCCGAAGGGCCGGTACTGCACTGTAATGTTCTATGTTCTATGTTCTATCCTTACGTGGTTTGGCCTCCATGTGACTCCAGACCCACCGCAATGTGGTTGACTCTCAACTGCCCTCTGAGCAATTAGTGATGGGCAATAAATGCTGCCTAGCCAGTGATGCCCTCATCCCGTGAATGAATAAAGAAAAAAAATCTGCTGATTTTCACCAGCATTCTCTGTGTTTATATTTCAGATTCCCAGAATCCACAGTGTTTTGCTTTCATTCACTCCTTCCATCTCCACTCTGCAGCAACAGTGTGTGCCATCTAAAGGATGCACTGCAGAAATTCACCAACGCTCCTTAGGCAGCACCTTCCAAACCCAAGAACACTTCCATCTGGAAGGACAAGGGCAGCAGACACATGGGAACATCACTAACTGCAAGTTTCCCTCCAAGCCACACACCATCCTGACTTGGAAATATACCACCATTCCGTGAATTTTGCTGGGTCAACAGTTTACACAGCACAGAGGGAGACTATTTGTCCCATTGTGACAAAGATAGGACAGCACTAATCCCATTTTTTAGCTTTTGGCGCATAGCAGGATATGGTAACTCAGCTGAATATTTAGATACTGCTTAAATGTTCAGAAAGTTTCTGACTCAAGCACCTTTCCAGGCAGTGGGTTGTAGATTCTCATCTCCCTCTGAGTGAAAATATTTTCTTCAACTCCTAATGCCCTTCTACTTCTCACCTTAACTCCATGCACATTGGTTACCAATCCCTCATAATTTGATACACCACTATCAGGTCCCTTTTCAATCTTCACTGCACCAAGGAGCATTATGCCAGTTTTTCCAATTTTACCTCATAGCTCAGACCATCCAACCTATTCAAGACTTTGGTTAGGCCACACTTGGAGTACCATGTGCAATTCTGCTCACTGCACTGTAGGGAGAATGTGATAGCACTGGAGAGGGTGTAGGGAAGATTCACAAGGATGTTGCCTGGGAGGAGCATTTTAGCAATGAAGAGAGGCTGGAAAAGCTCAGGCGGTTTTCTTTGCAGCAGAGAGGTTGAGGGAGTCCTGACTGAGGTGTATAAAATTATGAGGGGCATGGACAAGATGGACAGAAAGCAGCTGATGCCCTTAGTTGAAGGGTCAATAACAAGGGGTGTAATTTTAAAGTGAAAAACAAGAGATTTGGAGGTGATTTGAGAAAAGATTCTTTCACTGAGAGTGGTGAGGGTCTGGAATGCACTGCCTGCGAGGGTAGTTGAGACTGGAAACCACAACCTTTAAAACGTACTTGCATGAGCACTTGAAGTGTCATAATATTAAAGGCTATGGGCCTAGTGCTGGAAAGTGGGGTTAAAGGGATCTTTCTCATAATGGCAGGTGGTGACTAGTAAGAATTCCGTAGGGGTCAGTGTTGAAACCACACCATTCATGTTATACATTAACAAGCTGGATGGAGGAACTGAGGGCATTATTGCTAAGTTTGTGGGTGACACAAATATAGGTTGGGGGGTGGGTGTTGTGGGGGTGACGGGGGTGACAGGTAATGTTGAGAAAGAGGATGTAATGTAGTTTTGGCTGTTTGGACCACAGGTCTCTTCTGTACTCTGTGATTCTATGATTTCTGCAGTTTTGAGGTGCTAAACACACTAGTAATTCCTCTCAATTTGTTAATGTCTTCTGATATTTCACAGTCCTCCATCCTGATGTCTATACCTGCACCGTCCTTTTCCATTGTGAAGACTGAGGCAAAGTATTCATTGAATTCTGTGCTCATGTCTTCTGGGTCCATACACACACACATTACCTCTATAGTCCCGAATGGGTCCTACTCTTGTCCCAGTTATTCTCTTAACCATTATATTTCCAAGAAACCCCTTTGGGTTTTTCTTTATTCTACACACCAGTGCTCTTTAATGCATTCTCTTTGTTTTTGTAATTTCCTTTTTAAGTTTCCTTCCTGCGCTTCTTATACTCCTTCAGAGACAGTGCCACATTTAACGCTCAGAATCTGTCATAAGCTTCTCTTTTCTTAATCCTAATCTTTATGGCTCTTGACATCCAGGCTTCTCCAGTTTTTGTGCCACCCTCCTGTCCTTGGTCATTGGTAAGGTTTTAGAATCCTTTATTAAGGATGAGATTGTGGAGAACTTGGAAGTGCATGGTAAAGTAGTCAGCATGGCTTTGTCAAGGAGTAGTCATGCCTGACAAATCTGTTAAAATTCTTTGAGGAGATAGCAAGCAAATTAGACAAAGGGGAGCCAGCAGATGTGATCTATTTGGATTTTCAGAAGTCTTTTGACAAAATGCTGCACAGGAGACTACTAAATACGATCAGAGTTCGTAGTGTCAGGGGGCAAGGTGCTGGCATGGATAGAGGATTGGTTGGCAGACACAAGGCAGAGCTTGGGGATAAAGGGTTTTTTTTCAGAATGGCAGCTGGTGACTACTAAGAGTTCTGAAAAGGTCACTGTTGGAACCACAACTAATCATGTTGTACATTAACAAACTGGATGAAGGAATTGAGGGCATTGTTGCTAAGTTTGTGAATGACACAAAGATAGGTTGGGGGGGGACAGGTAGTGTTGAGGAACCAGAGAGGCTGCGGAAGGTCTTGAACTGGGTAGGAGAGTTAGAAAAGAAATGGCAGATGGAATACATTGTGGGAAAGTGTGAAATTATGCACTTTAGTAGGAACAATAGAGGCATAAACCATTTTCTAAATGGGGAAGGCCTTTGGAAATCTGTAGCACAAAAGATTAACATGTAGATTCCATTGGCAGTTAGGAAGCCAAATGCAATGCTAGCATTTATTTCAAGAGGGCTAGAATACCAGAGCAGAGATATATAGCCTCATCAGTACAGGGCTCTGGTCAGACTGCATTTGGAATATTGTGAGCAGTTTTGAGCCCTGTATCCAAGGAAGGATGTGCTGGCATTGGAGGGCGTCCAGAGGAGGTTTCCAAGAATGATCCTGAGGATGAAGGGCTCGTCGTTTGACGAGCAGTTGAGGACTCTGGGTCTGTACTTGGAGTTCAGAAGGATGAGAGGGGATCTGATTGAAACTTACAAAGAGATCTGTTTAGAATGGATGTGGAGAAGATGTTTCCATTAAAAGGAGAGACTGCTACTTGAGGGCATAGCCTCAGAGTGAAGGGACTACGTTGAGGAGTTTCTTCAGCCAGAGGGTGGTGAGTCTGTGAAACTCATGGCCAAGAGGGATGTGGAGGCCAAGTTACTGAGTGTATTTAAGACTGAGATAGATAGGTTCTTGATTGGTAAAGAGATCAAGGGTTTACAGGGAAAAGGCAGGAGTGGGGTTAAGAAACATATCAGCCATATCGAATGATGGAGCAGACTCAATGGGCAGAATGGCCTAATTCTGCTCCT